GTCGTGGTTGGGTAAGAGGATGGAAGTGTTGAGAAATGTGACGTAAAAAGTTGGGACAGTTAGGAAAGAGCTAAAATAAATCTGTTATTCGTCGGACTTTTGTTAATAGAGAGAAATGTTGAGCAACACTGTCAGAAAAAGGCTATTGTCGAGCCGCTGTTGCATTATTTATTTGGCCATTCGCGGAATATAGACATCCAATTAAAGACGTTTCGTAATGCTCGTTGTATCAACGAAGGTTTATAAATAATAAACGTACAATAAATATATAAAAATTCACGCAACGTCGCTGATCGCAACGCACTTGCAATTGCACCTGCCCAATGTGGTTGTAATACTTCTACACGCGTTAATCATCCTCTACCGTTACACCTAGTAGACGTCGTATAGTATCCTCGATTTCATTCGTTTTTCTCAAATATGATCGTCAAACGCAAACTCGTTGAACATGCTGTACACTAGCAACGAATATTCTTAATTCTTAAACGTCGAATTCGGAGCTTGAACGCGTCGTTGAACAGAAAGTATCGCTAATCGAAGCGAGAGGACACTAACGAACACGAACGAGTACATAGTATAAACTATAAAACTATAAATCATAAAATATAGCGTCTACTTTCGTTATATATATAATACTTTCGCTTTTGCACGGTCGATTAACGTTAAAACACGGTCAATATTCGACAATTTCGATTCCTAGCGAAGGAAAGAAACGATCAGGTACTCCGGAAAAAGCGAAACCACGCTCAGGGCGCTATCAACGGCTTCCACGAATTGGGATCGTCTTGATCCGACGTCGATGAACCTTCGGACGACTGCAACATCATCGCCTCTGGTCTAAAGAAGTCGATAATCGGATGGTAATTGTAATTGATCCGCCTCTGCGGCTCCTGGTACTCGTCGTCGAAGCCGCCATTTTGTAGCCTCGATGTCGCGTCCATTTCCAGGTCGTACGGCTGACTGTACCTGGGCAATTTCACATTCTTTATTTCAACGTTGACTTGTTTGATTCGATGTTTCAACTCGGTATCGGAATTTTCTTAATTTCCTTAATACTAAACTTTCCGATTATGCTAATTACCTGTTTAAAATCGTGCTGTTCGCAGTTTCGGCGTTATCCTCGACGTGAGACGTGGATTCCCTCCTGTACGGTGGTCTATTAGGTCTGCTGGGTCTGGAACCTTTCGTTAACGGCCCTGTGTACCCAGGTGCTCTGGTATTAGGTGCATGTTGCTGAGGTAACTTATCGAACGGCCTTGAACTCGTGGACGAAGGCTTCTTGGGCCTCGGCCTCACAGGAAGAGTAAAAGTTGGTCGACTCGGCGAGGCCTCTAGTGTAGGCTTCTTGTTACTCGACCCTGCGCAATTTTGGAAATCGTGACTTGCATCATCATTTCCTATGATCTATACTGTTTAAAGAATAATCAGAAAGTGGGCAACCATGTCCATTTCGCGTACCAATAGAGGAGTCGAAAGCATTGGCAAACTTGCTCAAGTAATCCAACTTCGAAGTCTCCTCGAAATCATCCTTCTGTTCGGTGACGAAATCGGATCCAGGAAACGATTCCTTGATCCTCGACGGTGGATCCTTTTGATGAGGCGGGAAGATCTCGGCGTAGCCGTGCACGTGGCAACTGCAGCAAGATGGTACCTTGAAAATGTCCATGTGCAGGCCCAGCTTGCTGTCCCAGGTCAGAAGCCTGTGATAATTGTACACTTGCATGCAAGAGGATCGGTAATTTTCCGATATGAAGGAGCAGCTCGATTGCGGATTCCTGAAATTGAATATATATTTCGTCGTTTCCATTTCTTCCATATAGATACTGTCAAACGGAATGGTACTTCGTGGAACTTCGGCATTTTTTCCGATATTCTGGTTTACTCGCTTACCATGAGCGAAAGTGAAGCAGAATTTTCATCGCAAGAAAAGAAGTCTCGTGCACCACAAGCGAGACACTTTGTGCACTGGCATGTAACCAAGTGTCGAATTTCGATTTCTATCGCGAAGTTACCGCGAAGATTCTTGAATAAATTTAACTGGGAAAGCGGCAACCGAATCATCTCGTTTCGACTGCGAAGACAAATCATTGGAACGAATGGCGGAGGCAAACGAAACTGCTTTTTAAACCGAGTAGGAAATTCTGCACCGTGGTTACACAGATTGAAATAGAAGAAACGTCACGGTAGATCGATCACCTACGTAACGATCGATGCAAATTAATTAAAATCTCTTACGAGCACTTCTCTAATCGCAGAGTTTGCGTGTGTTCGCCGGTGTTTATTATGTACTTCCAAACACCGGAAGCGGCTCGGGCCAATTGCGGCCGGGCGTATTTAATCACCGATGGACACGTGAAACCCTCTTCCACGTTCTCGAATCCTGAACTCGTGTCGGATCTCCTGGAATAATTAAAAGCAAGTGAGCTCCGTGGAATAATTAACTCGATGTAATAAAATTTTTAAAAATAACAGGAAGACGATAAGGAATACGATACTAATTACAACAAGGAACCAAAGATATAAAAAGTCTCATGTTTTTCTTCATAGATATCAGGATTCGATCGCCATTTACTCCTGCAATGCGGCAACCCGACCACCACATGCTATCACTGTTGATCGAGTTGCCAGTACGCAGGGGCAAAATGGCACGAACTCCGAGCTGTAGATGTTTCATAAATACATCCAGCGATCTTACCTTCTGATTTCGTTACTCTCGTATCGATTCTCGTATTTATTTTCCAAAGGCAGGATGGGGAAACTGTCTCCAGCCTCGTCAAAGTCCTGCGACTTGTAGTCCGTCAGCAAAGCTGCGACCATTTCCTTGTTACCCCTGAGACTCCTGACTATCGCCTCGCTAAGAAAATTTTCTTCCATTAAAATCAACCAACTGACGAGGTAATAAATACCACGGAAAATTATCCCTTTAATTAGATTGAAACAATCTAAGGAACTAACTTCTAACGCGCTATTCCGTAATTCAATGAGATCACTTGGCGAAGAAAGGGGAAGAAAGAAACGAGAGTTTCGCCAATTGAATCTGCGACTTCCTTCCTATTTCCAGACGCGTAATTCCCAATTAAGAAACACAGGTGGTTGTGAGAAACACGGAGGTCGAAGCAACATTGCGCAATGAACAATTGGAACGAGCGGAATCGCAGGAAAACGAGCACTTTCTTCGGCTTTAACGAGCCCGCGAATTATGTCCCTCGACCATTGTGAAACTGCGGTTCCCTTAATTAACGGCAATCCCCGGGTGTTGATTAGGGAAAGTACGATTTAGATGCACGTCATCGAATCGGTTGCGCAATCGTTGCAACCTATTGAATTGCGGCGGAAAGAGGAAAAGGAAGAAGAAATGTGACAATGCACGATACTAACTGAGGATAGTCGGCCGCTTCCAGGCAAACTGTCTTCGAAAAGAAAGTACATTCTTTCTCCGTTGGATCGCGCTTTATCTCCGTGGGTCTCCTGGGTGGCCTAATTAGAGGAGTTCTGGACAGATCTGAAAAATTACGTCCGTTTCCATTCTTCGTATATTACATTCGTCATAATTAACCCTTACAGCGTAAAAGTCACTTCGTTAATTTTTCAATTTTAATTCAAGCAGCAATTTTTCTCTAATTTTATTCAAATTTTAGTTAGATCTTCGGAGACTAGGTGAAACAGTGAAATAGTGAAAAATCACCTGTGTAAACGTTTCTTCTATTGAGCGTAGTCGGTCTTCTCGGTGGAGGTCGATACCCGGGTCGTTTCCGTAGATTGGGCCTCACGATTTTCAATTCCTGTGGCTGCAGCAAAAAACCGGGGATTCTGTTATCTTAATTAATTAATCCTAATTTATGTCACTGAATTCATTTCTGTGTTTCATAAGCTGTAAATTGTATTCCACCACGCGTATCTTCGTTCCATAAAAAAGATCTCCCGACAACGCAGGAATTTCAATTTCAACGGTTTTTATCGGTCGAGAAATCTTAATCGTAGTTAACAATATATGTATGTCCCTGGGAGTTGGTTCGCATACATTTCAGCCCGGTTGCTAATTAATGCCCGGAGAGGAAAGTCACTCGACGCGCTGTAAAGCATTTACATAGCCTCGCCCGAGATTCTGCGGGGATTACGACCGGCGATATAATAAATACGCCAATTACAGTCGCGTGAAAGTACTCGAGGATGAAAATAAACGCTGTCATCTCTCGGGCAAGAACGTCCTGTGAAACGCTCTCGAATCGGAAGGGATGAACGATCGAGGAGACGTCCGGCCGCCTCGATAATATGACCGCGGGTTTCTAAATATCCGCGGGAAATTTCTACGAATTTTTATGGACATTTCGTATAACAGAGTCCGAAGAAGAGAAGGATAGGACTTTAGAAATCCCAGTAATAACTGCCTCGCCGGGTTCCACGCAGATTTTTGCGCGTAAAGCGGAGAACAGAAAGTCGGGACTAAAATAATTATACGAAATGGCTGCCGTGTGTGACAAAATTGTACGTTTCGGAGTGATTTACGATGGAAAGGAGGTCCAAACTCGACTTTCTAAGAGTCTACCACCTGACAAGGTAAACACTCGTCGGTCTTTCGCTCGAGCACAATAATATTGACACCGGGACAGCCTGTTTGCCAGAAGAAGGCGATTCAGAGGTTTCTTCGATGGCGTTCGTTGAACCTTGAACGACCATAAAAGTAACCGATGTTAAATCGACGTCTGCCATACGTTACTTACAGGTTATACAAATCGAGTCACTTTCCCATATTAGGCACCGAAACTAGTCAGGATAAATAAATAAGAGTCATTGCCAATAAGAGACCAAGGGACCAGACAAGATTTACCGTCATCGCGTCATCCTCGATCGGAACAGGGTCAACTCGGGACTACAAAACGGGTACCGAGGATGAACAAGCATTCCTCTGTAGTCCCATCGAGCAGTTCCGTTCGCTTTATACTTAGTCACTGTCGTGAGTCTCTTTCCAAGCGAGACAATCGAGCTGGTAGATCGTTGAAACGTGATCGTGGGGTTACCGAACGATTTACCAAAAATTACACGGTACCAATTTCATCGTCCATTTACCTCTGGTAGTTCTTCCTCGCCGCCAGTCGCATCGTCGGGTATGACCTTCGCGATGTCCACGCCCTTCGGCAGCATCAGCTCCCGGCTGCCATTTTGTCGACTTCCGTTGCTCGGGAGGGTACGAATCTTCTGCAGCTGCTGTCGAAACAGACGAAATAATCGTTCAAAATGACCCGGCTCGTGTCTTTCTTTTCACTTTAATTCCGATACTTGTACTTCCCTCAAAAGGAAAATACATTTACAACCCCGACAGGATAGAGGCCGTTCAAGCGACGTAACCTTTAATAAAGAAGGAAGAAAAGTACGGCTGTCGGAGCGTAATTCCTTCGAGTCCCCTTTCACGTTCGCGTCCACGCTAATGCGTTAACGATAACTTCGACTCGTTAAATTCACCGCGATTAACTCGACCAGCGCTGCGTGTAAGCGTTATTTAAGTAAATAGAAACTTCTACTCACGCTGTGCCGTGCTTTATCCGTGCCGTTCTTCAACGCGTCGTCGGTGATCTTGATGGACGTGACCGTCGTTTCGTTTGTTTCTTTAAGCTCGTCGAGGTCCACGTCTCCTTTGAGATCCTTCTTGGCATTGGCGTCGATCGAGGACAGTAGCACGACTGCCTAGAGAGTGAAACGAACCCCGTGTACTCGCATGAACGTATTATTACCGCCGAAAATAACATTGTAGGTCAGTGGAGCCAACTGTCGCTGGCACGTTGCAACTTCATTCGCCGTTTATTCACCACGAATCGTCTCGAACGATTAATCATATTTTCACCTCGACAACACAAACGCGTACTTTCTATACCTCGACTTCGAATCCGTTTCGCATGGATTATATAGAGCGTTTTCAAAATGGCGACTTTGGAGAACCTCGCTTTGAAAGAGAAATTCGAATATTCGACCGGAGATGGGTTGGAGATAGGCGTGTTCTTCATTTTTCTCGTATCTCTTCGAGTTCTGCGAATTCTTAAATTAGATTCTGATATGTCGCGGAATATCTGTGAAGTTATTATTCATAACAATAATAATTAGCGTGAACAACCGATCGGTAGTATGGCCGTAAATAAGGCGTACATAAATATTAATCGTATTTCTGAAGCACGACTGGCAAAAACTCTGCTATTAGCATTTATAACAGGGATACCAGGTGCTGTCACAGCAGGTATCTGAATTAGTCTCGTTAATTACGTTAAATCTAGTTGCTCGATTCGACGTTACAACAGGAGGAACACGACCTGTATCTCGCTGAACAATTTAATCCATCTGTCAGATTATCAGCTGCGAGTTCCCGTCTTCGAATTCCTAATTAATTACTCGTTTCTTCGTTATCGCCTTCATCTGTACAAAACACAGAATTCACGCTGCTAAATGTATTAATAACACCGCGTTTTCATAATACGTAATAGAACGTTCCTCTTTCGGAAACAAGTACCGTCTTCCGCTTTTTTGTTCTTCGCTGTAACAATGCGTGCAGAGGTGCATATACCGTGTGTCAGTTTCATTCGTTAACGTGTGAAAATCCTGGAAAGTGGAGTTGAGAACGGGACAGGAAAATATTTCGGAACAAATTTTGTGCGATTTAAATTTCCAATAATTATTTGTGCCTTTTGCGTAAAGTAGTGAAATGTAGAAGTATATACTCTTAAATTAAATTTTCCATTGCTTTCTTTAGAAGCAGTAATGCACTATGCCTGGCAGAAAATTTTCGGTCAAACGCAATAATAATAATCACTGTAATTTTTTATAATCAAAGTGCTATAAGACGAGTGCTATAAAACAGAGGAAAAATAATTTTAATTCTCGTTTATATTTAATAGAACACCAAAGAAAAATCAGTTATTCGCAATCAAATAAAATATATAATGACAATGCGGTTTAGGATAAAGTTGGCTTCTACAAAATACAATTAATACCTCTGTAGGTAAAAGAAAACGAAATTATTTTTTCAGAAACGCAATATACAAATATCTAAAATTTCTAGTGAAGAGTTATAGTTTCCTATTCGAAACGATAAACATAACGAGAGAAATACCACGCAGATTTTCAAAATCTTCGCCAACTGGATTAAACACTCTTCGAGAAATTGGGAAAATCCAGGGTTTCCTGATAAATTTACTCGCCTGCAGACGAAAACGAACACCCCATAAGCGATTTATCTCCTTCAAACGATCGTTCGTTGGAAGCGGATCCTTTCCCTCTCATAATCGTAACGCATAGTACCTACTCGCCGAGTAACGCGACAAAGTTTCCCTATACAGATACAATAGCCCGATTCTTCCATTATACCCTTGGGAATTGATCTCTATGGAGAAACGTCGAGCTTCTGGTCCCCGATGGCCAATCTCGGAAGAAATCTCCGCGAGTCGCGCTTCGCGCGGACGAAATTTCGCCTGAGCGGAAGCGGAGTTGCGCGTTGACGGCGCGTAACGTCGTGAAATCGTCGCGAAAACGCGCGGAGCGGATTTAACGACTAACCGTCGCGTGTCTGTTCGGCGAAATTACGCGATTCCTGACGACAGGAATAGGAGCTCGCGAATCGCGTGCGCGAGAGAAAGTCACGCTGTTCTGAATCCGCGGCTAGTTCCGGGCAAACGGAAATGGCGTGCATGGGTTTTTCCTGGGTCCACGAGGATCGAATGAAAGTTCGCGCGATCGATGGTACCACGTATCGGATAGATAATGATTTATCACGTTTGCCTGGTTTCTCCGTTTCAGCTTGAATGAACGGTTGTGTAACTTTCACGCTGATGCAGGATCTCGGATAGGGGGGTACTTTCTAAAATATGAATTTCTTCGCTCAGCCGTTTTCCTCGGATTAACTGTAAACCTTGAGACAGAGGTACCTAGGGTCATCCCGAATCCGGGACAAGATCGATAAGATCTCTGGAATCTTGGACCCAACTTGGGGTAACCGAATTCGCGCGTTTCCCTCGTTACATAACTATTAAATAATTTTTATCACGCTCTTATTGTTCCTCCATTTTTAATTTCTCCAAGAATTAGCAATTCCCTTCAGCACTTATCGTGAGATTTATAAATATTAAATATGGAAATACGAATCGTACTTGACCTAGACATTTGCCTATTTACGTAATTTTTGAAAGAATTAATTATCAATGCTTGGATTCTTCATTAGCTTATCGTAAAATTCGTGACAGTCGAAGATGAAGAAATATTTATCTCGTGCGACGTACAAGCATAAGCAGACCCAAGCAAACTTCTTAGATACACCAGGCATAATGTACAAAACACGCGAAGCTTTAAATCGCCTGACTAATTGCAAGCGAAATACCACTCCGCTATGTTGATCTATAGCTTCTATTTTCTTTCCACGCGAGCTATCAATGCTACAACTGCCGACCATTAATGTGCACCTAAATATACTTCCTGTAGCCAGTTTGAATTACGCTAGTATATCAAAGACAAATATGTACATGCAATTAAGTCGCTGTAATTGAATAAAGATCAATATTAATTTCGACAAAGCAGCTGCACGTTTTCAATAACTGTTTGCAATAACTCGTCAAACGAAAAATCCCGAACCAATCTCTTCAGCTTCTCGTATTTGTAGCTCCAGTATGAAATCCAGCGACGTAACGCTAATTGCTATAAAATACTGTCAATTAAAGCTCAGTTACTCAAACTCGATTATCAACGTCGGTTCTAGACGATCTCTTCGGTAAATAGGATCAAGACAGATCGTATCGTGTCGATCACAGGTGGTCCCATAGTCACGAAAAGGTATTCACCGCCAGAGGGTATCGATCTACGTCGATTTCGACGCAGCCAGTGGCGACGCTGTGTCTCGCGTTTCGTGTCACTGTTTTTCTTTACTAATTTTCTCTTATCAGTCACTGTATAGTTATCTCGACAATACCCTTTCGTTGAATTACGTTAAATTGTCCGATTTTCCAGATAACGAACGCCTTGCACGCCCTTCCTGCGCCGATTTCAGCGCCATCTTGGTCTATCGAACGTGCCCTGTTCCTGCCACGGCACGGTGTCTGGGATTCGAGTGCAGGAAATGGTGAATGTAACACCAGAGTGAGGTGACCCGGCGCGTTATGCCACGTGAAATGACCATACAACGTGGAAATTCCAACATATCCTCTTTTGTTTGCAATCGGCGCTGACCTAGTAACCATGATGCTCAGCAGAAGGAAGAGCTACGATTTCACTGAGTGATCTTTTTCTCCTCATATCGCGGTTGCTCATCAATGCTTAGCCAATACCGTACGATTTTCAGGATATTTCGCAATCCCGTTTGCCGAGTTTACGATTATTTACACGGATCACGCGCAACCTGTTCACCAACGTTTTGTTACGCGGTCTGTATCGATCGTCGTCGATCTCTTCTCTGCAATTCGGAGATCGAATAATATGGATAAAATTTACGGTCTCGGGCAGCAAATCGCCCGTGTAATATCGATCTGAATTATCCTCGATTTAATTGCTCGCGGAGATCGATCCACTAGGCCTGCATCCTCTGCGATTACCTACGCGCCTCAGCTGTGTTTGCCTCTAATTAGTTAAGAGATCAAGAACTTTCGAATACCGCATCACGCTGCAATGAATCGTAAATTCCATAGAGGGGGGGCCTCATTTGAATGCTCGTCGTTATATCGTTAATACCTCGCGTGTGAATCGGAAAAAGCACAATTCCAGTGACTTTCTACCGTGTTCGTCAGCCTGCTTTTACGAAGTCTCCATCGCGCGGGATCCTTCTTCGTAACGAGTATCAGCGTGGTTAATGTCCTCCGGTTACTATTTCGGGGACCTTAGATTATTATCATCGAGAACTTTCACCGAGCTTATCGATCTAAGGAGACACGCGCTTCTTACGAATTATGAATCGCTATGGCGGATTGCGCCTCTTATGTCGAAGGATCTTCGGTGCAATTTATTATATTTCGCGGACGTGATTTTAATATTAAAATATAACAGATGGCTGGAAACGCGAGAAATTTCACATAAATAGTCGGAATCGCGGAAATACGCTAGTGAAATTCGGATTTATTAGGTACCGCCTGGAATCCAAAATTTTGGAGAAAGTTTAAAAATTTTATTAACATTGGGAATTCTTTAATCAGCACGCTGTTAAAGGGAAGAAAATTGTTCTCGATATTTATGCAACCATCCTTTAAATTAATTCTCAAGCTACAAAGGTGATACCCGAATAAAGATACCTGAAATGATGCAATAGAAATAACTGGGTAATTTTTAAAATTACAGAAACTGCAAAATAGTTGTTCCAACTGGTTCGATAGTTCAAGTATAAATGCCAGAGGTAGGAGAAAGATACTGTGCAGATAAAAATTAGAAAGCAATTCGAAATTTTTTCCTCGCATCGTGCAGCGTTATTGGAAACTTATCTAAAATGCCAGTCAATCAATCTTCGATCGAACGATCGATGTATCACGTACCTGACATACCGTTTCGAACAACCACTTGGGTCGAGATTCGCGAGATTGCGAGATAACCGGCAAATGGCGAGATAACCATAAATCGGCCGGTGTTATAAGTGACTCGATCGATCTCGATCGAGGAATCGATGACGAGGCACGCGCAGCGGTCTGTCGGTCGGGAACCTAATTCTCAGGGTTTAACGACGGAGGAAAAGGAAAGAAAAGGGAAAGGGAAACGTAGAGAGGAGAGGAGTAATCAAATTGATCGGCGAAATACGATAACGCGCGAACAATTGCCTGGTTTGATAAAAATCGCGCAAGTAATTGCCACGTTCGGCCAACGATCTCGTATTTGCGATCACCGATAAATCATTCGCTAGCTAACGCGTGAGAGGGAACTCGTGGCAATTAAGGAAATCTATTTACTTTTCCTGATTCCAACGGGTTACCGGATCAAGGCCACGCAAAGGTTGTTCCACTTTACGGCACAAGTGTCTCGACAGACGTAGCGAGTTACCATTTTCCGACAGGAACTTCCACTTCTTTTCCATGTCCCCGTCGACCAACACGAACGGGCCATACCAGCGTTAAAATACGGTCGTCGACTGTTTAACGCGTGAAATTAAACGTCACGTGGCTGTTCGTGCTCGTCGTTTAAATTCAATCGCGCAGCAGTTTCCGCGAGAAACCTGTCTCGCTGAGAATTCGCCTAGAAGCCTCGGAAGAAAGTGCTATCTGCATGAATGCCTCTGTCTCGCGATGTATAAAGGAGAACAGTGCTTTCCTAAGTCGTTCCCTTGATATTCCCAATTACTTTGCGAAGGATCACCTATTAGGACGCGTTCTCGAAAGTTTCCCGCCATTATAAACTCAGGAGACGAAGAGTTTGGGTAATTACCGACAAATCGACGAAAGTGGAACCCCATCGATGAATTTTTGCAAGTTTCTACGGTGTAAAAATATATCAACGATACACACTGTCGTTGTTTCAACGAGTTCTCGTACGTATCGGGATACTTGGACGAAACAAAGAGAATTTCTTACCACCGCGACGAAAAGTAATCCTCGCGCCATCATTGCTCCCTCATGTGATCTCTCAACGACTCTTCCCGCTTCTTTCACAGATCACCACATTCACAATCACCAGCGCGAATATGCGATACCCCGCAGCGAAACGTGCCCGAGTCCAATCTTCGCAAGCTAACTCGAACAATTCGCCAAACTTCAATAGCAACCCTCCTCAGACTGCAATCATTCACCCCCGTGGTCTTTGTTTGTCCCAGCGAGCGTCCTTCGGTTCCACGGTTGCAATTTCTCCGATACCCCGACGTGTCCTGCGGAAGCGATCGATGGACGCGACTGAAGGCTCGATCCGTTCCTCCTCGACGTCCGCGAACAAGCCCGTGAGGACACGGCGTCTCGACGGAGAGCGGAAAAATCGAGAAATTGAGCGGTCGTGGAGGCGCACCGAACTCTGGTTTCAGCCGCCGCGGAGTGCGTACGGTCCTCGTCTTCATCAGGTGGAAGGAGACGCCGAAGAAGAAGAAGAATCGTAGCCCGATGCCTGGCGGCTCTCACGTGGGGATAATGTAGGAACGAGCGTGCTTCGTCCTGCGTGTTCCCCCTTCGTCGAGCCGTGACCGAGAAAACCGGACGGCCGGATAAGCGTGTCGTGTTCGAGAGGAGGAAGAAGTCGGCCACTCGTACGCCTCCTTCCTCTTCGTTCAGCTACGTCTCCGCTCGCGGTGGAGCACAGAGTGGTGGTCGCCCGCGTCACCCTTGATGCGACAGCACGTGACGTTTTCACCGCGATTGTCGCTTTTCGACCTCCTTCTTCCTTGTACTTTGCTTCTGCTACTTCGTTTCCAACTTCCAGCTCCGGCCTCCGCTCCGTAATTTGAATGTGAATGTCTCGGAACGTATATCTTGCTTTGCTTCGCGGAGTCGGGAGCTTGGAAGAGGTTATGTAGTGTGTTTCAGAGATGCTGCTTGTTTTGGGAACCCGAACAGGGATGTATTTAAAGCGCCAGTTGATTTATTTCGATAGCATACCGGTACCATAGGCTTGAAAGAGGTGAGTTGCATATTTAAGAGACACTGACTAGCGAGGAAAGAAGAGGGATTCTGAAGAATGCGCGAAGTTAGAAAATTTTAGAAATTGGAGTAGAATTGATTATTGTACTTTGTCTAGAAATTTTAGTCGTCATCGGGAGTTCATATTTCGGAATTTATATTTCGACTGGGTTGACGGCATCAGAGACTTTAGAAAAGCTCGTGAGATATGTTTGAGAAAAGAATAGATGAAGTGGTTGGAAAATTTTAGAAAATGAATGGAAATAGATTTCGCCTGCTCTACATTTCGCTCGAATTTTATTTTTCTATATTGTCTTCAAATTAAAAATTTCTGTCTCGAATTTATTTCTGAGTTGTTGAAAGTTATTTTATAAAACTCATAGAATGTAAATTAATACGATTTCATGCGATGGGAGAATTTGGTGTAAGCAGCGAGTCCCCCTGAAATCGGAATGTCCACGTACAGGTGTACCTAACGAAGAGTCCCGCGACAAGACATGTCGTGATTCGTCGCTAAACTCGATCTGCCCACTTTTTCTAACAGGAGTTCCTGGATCGCGGCAAGTTGGCCGTAGGAATTTGGAACGTTCTCTAATAACACCTTTCACGATTAAATTCCCGACGTGACCGAATGAAAAGTGACGCGCTATTTGTCTAGGCGACGCGCGATGTTTTCTCCACGATTGCCGCTCTTAGCGTGCATGTACTTTCGATGTACACCCGCCTGCCACTCTACTAAAGTCTCAGCCTATCTTCCCGTACACACGCGTGAATTCGAACGATAAAAGTGGCGGGACAAATGGTTCGACACGGGGCCCATAAATCTCCATTTACCCCTCGTGAATATTCACTCACGGCCCGTTCCTTCGAATTAAGCGAGAAATATACTTTCGTTGGAACGAGAAATCGTAGCTAAAAAATCGGGGACCAAAGCGACAGGTGATCGACGAGGTTTTCTCCTCGAGTCTCTAATCGATCGATAACGAGCCGAGAAAAGAGTATAATACGCGTGCATTTCCAGACATCGAGATGGAAAATTATGCTAACTCCTTGGGGTCCGATGTCGCGCTGAGAAAGTTAAACTATTCTAGAAAGTGCAGCGTAATGCCTTAATCGACGCCGATGTACCAACATGGTAAATAGACGAATTAACATTCGTGTAAATGAGTACAAGTAGCGACGAAGAAACGGAAACCGTAATTACGGATCTTATCTACTTTCTAACACATTTGTCGACATAGTAGCGAAATTCATCGTCACCACGGGTACATCATAGGAATATAATATATTCCTTGGCTATCGAGATCTCGTTGGCGATATCGTACATAGTGAAATTCTAAAAATTACCCGTCAATTCTCATTTGTATTCGGAATGCTCGTTAACACGGACAGATGTCGGTAACCGAGCGTCAATCCCACGGGGGTCGGAAAAATGGCGGCAATTAGAGTCGAGACACTGCACGTTCCTGCATCGATAAACTTTCTTCTCGAACGTCTCGGGTCCAGCTGCATTTCAGATTCGTTTTGCCCACGTTTCTAATGGCGCTTGCCGGACGGATCGAGGGGTGAAAGCGACCAAGCGTTTCCGAATCGAATGGCGCTACGACTCGAAGCTGCAATCAGCGTTTGTCACTCTCTCGCATCTAGAGGAAGTTTCTAAGGCGTTGGCGAACGTCGGCGTGGTCTGTAATTGGCGACATTTTGCACGCGAACGAGCGGTCGTTAGGCCGTTTAACGCGACATTCGATGCAACAGAATTGCAGATAGAACGTGATTAACTCGCAATAAAGCAACTGGTTTTAGATATCCACGGGACGGGAGAGAAGGTCTTGGAAGCTTTGAATATCCTTATCGCTGACTCGCGGGATTCTTAGGATCCTTAGTGGTTATTCGAATTGGAAGGTTGGTCGATAAGCGAGAAATCTACTTTTATCTGTATATAGAAAATTCGAAATTAGCCTTTTATCTTTTCCAAGTAGGCGTAGTTGATTCTTAAGAATCTGATTGTATTTCCATGATCGTATATCTCTGGTTTACGAGACGTCTCAGCCATTGGATACGAGTATTCTTCTTTCGCGCTTCTTATGCGTTGAACGAAGTATAGTTCGCTTATCCATCGTTCTGCTAAATATTCCTCACTTCTTGTGGATAAGCACCGTCATTTTGAGGAAATGGAGCCTCTAAAGGTGGCTTCCAGTTCCTTATCGTTCTACTAAACACACTTCACTCCTACGTAGGGACTGATATTTCTTCATGATTACGCTTGCAAAATTATACTTCAATCATCTGTTCTTCCATTATGTATTTTTTACTTCTACATAAGTGCCTACGTTCCCTCAAAATTGCGTTATCCAATCCGATCGTCCATCAGCTGAAAATTCATCGCAAAATCATGTTACTAAAATTACTCTGCATTTAATTATTCCACCAAAATTACTTTTGTAAAATTATCGAAAACAGTATCATTCTCTTTATTCAATTTACAACTACTGTCAAATATTATCTCGTCAACGTGCCACTTTCAAAATTATTCTTCAATCGCTTATCGTTCTACCAAACATTCTTCATTCTCTCAAACATCCCCCAAATATCATTACCTCCCCAAAATTATACTTGCAAAGTTACTTTCCCGATAACGAACCCTCGTTCAAATTACCAAAAATAACATCAATCTTCCCCCGTTATTTAAATCAACCATCGTCCATCCCCCAGTACCAACTCCACAATATTTATTCCACGTAATTCCAGGAGGAACCGCCCCAAAAGTGTGACGGCTGTTCCAGGACAAGGCAGAAACCGGAGGAAAAGTAGGATTGACAGGAGAACGGTGCGCTCGGCTCGTAAATCCGCAACCCTCTCAACATCCCCCTAATTTCGCTCAATAAATATCCAGCCGCGAAACTGCCGCGGGCACGCGTAAAGTGTCACGGGGATACTCGGCTGCGGGCGCCGTTTCCATTGTCCGCCGTGGCGAATCTGCATTCCGAAACGGCCGTGCGCAACGATCGGCCCGCATAAAGATCGGTGGAACGCGGCCGTGAGGTGTTCCCGGGGTCCGGCTTAACGATACGCCGCGTGTCGCGGCGCGGGTATATTTAAGGGAGTCGTGGAAATCGGAATAAACGGCCTACGAATCGATCGCGAAACGACCCGCGGCTCACTTAGGCCCGATAAAGAGAATGGTTATTGCCGGACGCGTGGAACCGCTCGCGAGGGTACGCCGGTGGTACGTCCGCGATAGAGCGTAGGACTTGTTGCGTGGAACGCGTACAAGTTCAGGTTAGAGGGGAGGAGAGGGCGGGAGAAAAGAAAAAAATGGGAAACATCGTAACCGTTCGTTCTTGATTTACGCGTCGGTGCGCTCGAAACCGCGCGACTAGAGACCGGACGATGTTAACGACGCCTTCGATCGGGTTCCACGGGAGATTTAGAGTGCGCCTCTCCGCGCGAGCCTCGTAAAATTTGTCAACATGCATGCAGAGTGTTTAGCGGTGGATCCGGTGAATTTAGAGGGGCATGCTTTTGGCGAAGCGGTCGGTGTTCGAGGCTCGAGCCGAGGTAGGAATTCTGTTCCCTGGGAAAGGTGCAGGGTGTCGGTACATTTTCCACGAGTTTCGCTTCGTGGATGGTAACGAGAACAGTATTCAACGAATTTTCACATTTCCTATGATCCCTAATATTCGTTCCAGGATTCCCCGAGAGTCTACTTTGCTGAACGAGAAAATCGAAATCGAAATTGCTCTATAATCTTCGGTTTCTGAAAAATGTGAGTATTTCGAAAGGGGCACGATTTTTGGGTAAAATGGAGTATTAGCTGAAAAGTGAGAAGATTGGGAGGTTCATTGTTGCTTCACGAGTTAGGGGAGAGTGTCTCGAGTTTAGCAATGTTTATAATTGTAATTATTCCTGAATCCGAATAACTACAATTCATCGTCAAAGTTTAAAATATATATATCGCGAAACCGTAAGCGGGATTTTGCCGCCACGCAACCATTGTTCGCATA